CGTGCAAAGGAAGACACGCAAAATTAGCCAATCAATCGTTTAGTTGTAAAAAAGACGCATTGGTCTATCCTCATCCTTCAACCGCCAATTTCTGTAAAAAGTTGCTCTTTCTTATGCAGCTTTTCCTAACTATGTTAAGGCGAACATTTTGGGCAACTTCTATCGTATTATCTATCATTATCTTCCTTTTTGCGGATCCACTATGTAGAGTATTCCGTGACTTTGATGTAGGAAGACTGAGGCACGAGTCTGTTTTTAAAAATAAATTATCAAATTTGACATCTATTGCTGGCTTTGTTAATTCATTGGGGCAGAAAAAGTATCAGTTAGATTAAGGTTATTCATCGTCAGATCATGAGGTTTCCAAGCTGCATTATTATTCAGCATATAAAAATAGAATTTTATTTTTATTAGAAAACTACCAAATCCATGTATTGTATACATAAAACTTCAGATAACATCACATGTTTCGGGAATCAACCAGAATGTCGACAAGGTGGTGTCGCAAGGTGCATACCAAACGAATGGCTTTGCGATGGACATAAGGTCGGGATGCCAATGTTCTTATGTTCGTGTTAAATGAATGTCTTTAGGACTGCGATAATGGGGAGGATGAAACTAATTGTAATGGTAATGCCGGGGTTACTGGCAACGATGCATGCGGTCCAGGAAAGCATAGGTATTCCCTTGAGATTATACGTTTACCCAGAAAACCGAGCATTTATTCTTCATGAAGGCTAATTTAACCTCAGATTCACTCAATAACATTACATTTGTTTTTTGAAAAGAAAATGAAAAGTCGAACTGTCAAGTCAATTCTTCCCCTTTGATTTTGTCAGTCGGAGATAGTTAGAGATATATAGACAATGCATAACATATGTTCCAAATCTTTTGTCACAGATTTTGAAGTGTCGATATTAGCCAGAGAAAATCGCATTTCATTTTGTCAGGAGCGTTAGGAATGAGATTTTTGAAGTTCTGGATATTAACAATGCACTTGAAGTTCTATGAATTTTCTCTTCCCTTAAAGGCACCGTCCACCCAAATTGGGGCCGATGAGATA